TCCCCTACTTTCTCATCCTACCTACGTATAACGCACATGGGGGAACGGTCAACGGTGGTTGCGGAATGCGGGGTCATTGGTTACTTTATGTCCCTCTTTACAGACAAGTTACCAGCGTTGGCATTGTGGCCTTTCTCTGGTCCCGGCGAAATTAGTACACTATGTTCATTCATGACTTGAAGATGCGTAATTATAATTAAAACTTTATGTGATTTATCATTTTGATTCTATCCGTATACAAATATCTGAGATGTATCTTTACTCAATAGTAAAAGTAATGTTACGTATTGCATCCTGAACCGGTGAATACATGCAGACAATTTATATCTCACTCAGTTGCACCACGGAAGGGCAGCGAGCCGCGCTCCTGACGGGTCCCGAAGGGCTGAGGCTTCAACGGGAGTAACCATACAATAATGTTTATTCTCCTGGCTCCGCTGTGTCGGGAAATCATTGTTAATTTATTTTCCTCTTCACAGGTGACGAACTGGTGGCGCTACCCGCCTACGGGCGCGGGGCGACGCTGGACGATCTGAAGAACGAGCAGAGCTCCGTGAGTGTTCAGTCGTCCCGCCTCAACGTTCAGAGAGCGAGTTCGAGCTGCCACAGTCGAAGGTCGGTGAAGTTGCCACAATCCTTGCAACTCATGCCGTGTTTTATCTTCCGTTCTATTGACCATGCAAGTGCCTCTTCGAGGTGCTCTACAAGAAGGCCCTAAACATCTATTTCACTAAGTAAAGCATCGTAGAAGATAGTGTGCTCCCTGGCTGAGTAGAGTGCAAGATGCGCGTGCGAGAGTACTGGCAATTGCGGTACGCCACTCTTGTCATGTCGGCAGCTCAGATCTAGCACAGACCCACAGACGAAGAGTGTATACTGTATACTGCGTGGTCTGCGTGCGTTTCATGTTTCAAAGTTTTTCATGTTTAAGCGCCAAGAGTACAAAGTACAGGGTGGCGCACGGAAAACCCCCGAATTGAAACTTTAATACCTTCCATGATTATTAACCAAATTTGATGATATTTTCACACAATGTACATACGTAGATACACGTTTGGGATGATATTCATCCAAGTTTTAGACAAATGCATTCACGCTCAGCTGAGTTGTGCACCTTAACGTGACCACTATCGTTTTTCAGTACTTTCTCGAGGCGCTCGCGGTACGCCAGCGCTGCTTTCTAGCGCATCTCGACGGTGATCTCTGCGAAGGCGGCTCTGAGCCGACCGTGTAACTCCGGAATGTTCGCTGTCTGCGTCAAGTATGCCTACGACTTCACAAACCCCCACATGAAAAAATCACACGCGGGGTGAGGTCGGGCTAGCGCAGTGGCCAGGGCAAATTGGGCGAGTGCGGTGGCCAGGGCAGTTTGGGCGAAGCCCAACCTCACCCCGCGCGTGAATTTTTTCATGTGGGGGTCTGTGAAGTCGTATGCATACTTGACGCAGACGGCGAACATTCCGAAGTTACACGGTCGGCTCAGAGCCGCCTTCGCAGAGATCACCGTCGAGATGCGCTAGAAAGCAGCGCTGGCGTACCGCGAGCGCCTCGAGAAAGTACTGAAAAACGATAGGAGTCACGTCGAGGTGCACAGCACAACTGAGCTGAACGTGAATGGATTTATCTAAAACTTGGAAGAATGTCTTCCCAAACGTGTATCACATTGTATGAAAATATTCAATTTGGCTAACTATGCTGGAAGCTAACTGGGCTAACTATCCCTTAGCCAATTCAAGTTTCAAATCGGGTATTTTACGTGCGCACTGCGCAACCCCATGTACATATAGAACAAAGTGATTGGGTGGTTTGTTTGTGATCAAAGTGTCTGTGATATAACGTAATCAAACTCATCGAGATCGAAGCCAGTGATTGTACTGTGATTGAACTATGATCAATACATGATATGTGTTAAACATGATATTTCTTAATTACTATTTGCATTATTAGCAGTCACGTTTTATTGCACCGACTGGCAGACATCACTGTTTTATTTATTGTACATAATTTCGGATCCCTCGTACCGCGCGTTCACAATGCGTATTCTGCCCATAGCGTATCTGACATCTCATGGTTACACGATACTATCCGAAATGGTCATCGCATGCCATCCGTTTGACTTCATCATGAATTTTGGTTCAAAGTATGTATAAGCAGACGATATACCATTACATTGCAGCCTAGACATAGAAATACACCAGAGGGTAAACTGAAACAGTAGCGTATATTTAACTCGGGGTAATTTTACTCCAAGCCTTTTCAGTCATAGAATTATCTTTTTGAGTTTTTGTTTCAACGTGAATTATAATGTGATTTATTTTTACTCCTTCAACTTTTTTTTACTCTGGTGTATTTATGCTATTTACTTTTTTTACACTCAGAAGCAGGGGGTGAAATCCGATTTGATATTATTACACTGGGAGTGCAATATTACTCTCGTAAATCGCATGCTTTATTCGCCTTTACTCCCCTACACCGGGGGTGTAAAATAATTCCTTAGGGTTGGACTTTTAGGCACCGTACTTTTACTCCAGAGTGGGTGTATTTTTAAGCTCATGGGAGTTATTTGACAACACCCGGTGGTAAAAATAGTCGCTAATCGCCCATGTTAAAGCAGTTTACACGGGGGAGTAGAATGATCACTTAGGGTTGGAGATTTAGGCACCGTAAAATTATTCCAATTTTGGGTGTACTTTTCTTTCAGTGCATGTTTGGCCGGAATCGCGATTCCGCGTATGTCGGCTCGCATTAGCCGCGCGTTTGCAGGCTTTTCGTGGTTTCAAACGTTCAAACATGTGATTTGATGTCGCTCCCATGCATTAGGGTGGGTGTCAAGGTCACCTGAAGGTCAGGTCAGGTCATTGACCTTTGGTGACCTCGGGTGACCTCGGTTCACTTTTTCGAGTTTTACATGTTTCTAGGCTAGTTTTTGGAGCTGAATTCGAATTTAGCAACCATTTGAACATTTACGAAGTAGTTTTGGTGCCTTCGTAACATGTTGCGAAGCTGTCAGAGGTGGTTGACAGGTACTACGAACAACCGTCACAACCCCTACTGGTTGACCTGACCTGACCTGACCCGACCTGGTCTAAATGCTTAAAGACATCATTTGTGATCAAAACTAACACGATATTCGTGATCAGCACCCCGAAAAACCTCTTAGTAGCCACACTTTACGACTTTCTAATAGGTCCCGATTTTCCCGACTTTGGGTCATTGACCTGACCTGGAAAGTCAACCAATGACCTAGGACCTTAAAATGGGGTATCATCTGCTTCCTCTCGTCACGGGCAACACGCTCGTTTTTTTCGCGAAGCTCTAGCTCGATCAGGGGCCAAACGGCAAGGGGGGTCCAACCGACCCCGTCTACCCCCCCCCCCCCCTACACATTAGAAGCTGGAAAACGCCGCACACATGCGAGGGTGCGGCGTTCTTCGGCTGCGTATCGGCTAAAGTCAACTTATGTCCAGTAGCGGCGGAACACCCTCAAGCAAGGGGGGGGGGCACTGCCGACTTTTGGTCCCATTCTTTCCATGCAACGCCCATAGGGCTAATGTTAAAATGCCAAACTCAAAGGGGGGCACGGTGCGTGCCCCGGTGCCCTCCCCGTTCCGCCGCCTATGTCTTTTGCATACGTTCAACTTCCTACGATCTTCTGCCTTACGATCTTCTGCTTTAAGAGCTTTTGTCCGGTTACCGGAAATGACACAGTACAAACTGCAGTGAGTGCAGACTCTGCAGTCTGAACTCTGAACTCCCTATTATGCCGCCGTGAAGATGGCTCCAGAGTTGGCTTACGTTACGTTATTTTGAAGTTTTCGGTAACCCGTAGCTGTCAGTACCGTTTCGTAGCGCAATTGGGATGTTTCGGTAGCGTAGTACGGAAAATAAGGTACCTACATATTTTTTTTTTTCAGTTTGCTCATATCGTCACCAGACCTCCGGCCGTTTACACGGATGTGAGACGCCTGCTATATGAATACCACTGAGTCTTTCTTCCGGCCGGACCGACACCGGGGATTTCCCACTGGGGAGTCCCAGGGAATTCCCTGTCGAAAGTCCAGCGCATCTAGCGAGTAGCGCGTAAGCACCGCCGCACCGACGATGCTGCAAAGCCAGCGATCATTGTGCGCAGTATTTGGCTTACTAGAGACTAACCGTTTCCACTGGGTAGTGGATGATGACATATTGCATAACGTAGTACGATAAAATAATTTGCTGCGTTAATTAACAAATACCGTAATTCAGTAACGTAGCAATATATAACGTATCGTAATTCGGTATCGTAGTTTTGGCAAAAAAAGCAAACGTAGCGTAACGTAGTGCGTAACGTAGCGTAGTGCAGGCCAACTCTGGATGGCTCTACTTTCGCAGACCACAAGAAGCATCACCAGCGTCATCTATATCATTTAAGGTATCAACCTGTAATTTCAGATGGCGTACAAACACAGCTCTGTGTTATGCATGATTTGCCGACATTAGGTTCTGTGTGATATATCTATGTTAGAATGCATCTCTTACCACTGAAACAAACCCAACACAACCCAGTCTAACCTGACTTTATCTATACGAACACATGCCATGTGTGCCATGCGAACATTTGCGATGCCCATATACGGCCTTGCGAGTTGCGATGCGTACTTGTGTCTGCATCCTGTTGTGCATGACGAGTGATAAAAAACATGACGAAGAACCGAAGGCCTAAGATGAGCTGGCCACAAAAAGTTTATTTGAAATACGAGTTCTGTTACACAGGAGAGGTCATAAGATATTCAATCATTCCTTGAATATAGAAATAACAGCTTTTGCAATCAATCAGTGCTAGCATCAATTGTCAATTTGGTAGCAGATAGCTTCGGACTTTATGAGTCAAATACGACGCACACGTCTCCAAGAGAATGAGTGCTGTTCGATTACTGTTTTTTTCAGTAGCAGCTCGCATTTCTCGTCTTGCCATTGGTGAAATTTACGTCAGAGGCACTACTTACCAATGAGAGGCCGAGATACGCCAGCGAGTACTGGCAAAAACTGGAGCATTCTGAACAAGATTCTGAAAATGGCTGCCGTGAAGCGTGAATCGCTCTATTAGAGGTTTGTATAGAAGTTTATTATTATGTATAACTTTTACTTGTTTTGAATTAAGTCTGATGCCTTTGATCTGAGAAGGAAATGTTCTACTTCAACTTTGACTTTTCGAGTTTCAGCATATGCATGGTGTTTTAAACTGAAACATACAGTTTTCAGCCTGAGCTGAAAATAGCACCTTTCAGGTGCTTGATGAACTTGATGTCCAGATAGAAGTCCTGGCAACAGTTACAATTGTTCAGCTCATTATGATAAGGTATACCGGATATGCCTAAATGTAATGCATTGAATTAGAAAGGGCTATTAATACACTGTAGGCGAGGCTGGAAAACATCCATGGTCCATGTGACTGTCGACATGTCAAGTGTAACAGGTGGATTGCAGCAAGATTTCAGCGCAGCATCTGACATGACCAGACTTGGCGTGCTGAAATTCGGGCACAATGAAAGAATAAATTTTGCAGCATGCAGACAAAATAACAACATTTGTTATGAGACGACAAACTCTAACCTTAGCTAACTATGCTCACTACAGTCTACACTCCACATTTGAACTTGGAATCAAGTACCCACCTATCCCTGGGTTGACATTTGTGACAGCCCTCAGATGATTGGATCTAAGGTTTGGCATATATAGGCCTGAACTTTGGCAAAAAATGTGTAAAAATTTCAGCACAAAATTGCTGGTGCTAAATTTTGGCACATTGAGAGCCCACAGTGAGTCTAGCATGGTGAATGAATTTTTTCAGTCTGGGCTGTTATGCAGCAGGTACCTGCTGATGCACACCACACCAATCAGACTGGAAGTCCACACCAAACAAGATCTATTTGTCATCTCACTTACCTTAGGTACTTTACAGTGATCAGGATATGGGAATTGGGAATGCAGAAAGTGTGCCTTTTCCACAAAATATGGTATCTGAACAAATCCCTAAATAACATTTCTTTGTAGAGCAATTGTTCATCCACATTTTTTTTTTGTCCACAAAACTTTGTCTGCATATTTCTTCTCTACGAATTGCATGCCTTTATCTCACATTTTGTTGTAAGTTTTATTATCAGTTAGGAATTTCTTCATATCAATGTGAATCAATATTTTTTATCAGGTCATTTTTTTATTACACATATCGTCACCTCTGCAAATTTTCGTCATCAAATCCCCATCGATATAAATCTAAGGTGTCAAGATTGGTAAGTAAGAGTAAGTTAATATTTAGTTCTGCTAGGTTGGGTTATGCTGGTTAGTTGAGGTCATGTTTTTCTGGTTAGGTAGGTATTGTAAGGTTAGGTGGTTTTTTACACGGTGACTATAAATAGTTTTTTTATTTGTTCAGCCATTAGTGTTGCAACAGGGGGCAAGTGGGGCACCTTGCCCCTCCAATCTCTGACTGGGCACCCCTTGAGATGGATGCAGGTCCGATGAGATTTTGGGGTCAGCAAAATAAAATCGAGAATGGCAATGGATTCAGAATGATTTGGAATTGTCTCAGCCAGGGTCAGGGCGAGAGTCGCCAAAATCTTCAAGACATCAACTCCAGGCTCAGGCATGTCAATACTTTGAAGTTTGATTCGATCCATATCTTAGTTGGTTTTAGCTGAATTTTGCGTTCGTGTTTCGCCAGTCTAGTACGCTAGCACGAAATTTGAGTGTCAAGACCTACTACCTAGCTCGAAAATTTCAGGGTTGGGTGGGGTCCTTCTCGAATTCAGGCCAAATATCTGATAGATTCAAGTACCTGTTTAACTCACCTGTTTGGTTTCCCTGCCCGGTCCAATGGAATTGGAAGGGGGAAGGAAACCGTGTATGATAGAGACGCGCCAACGCCCCACGTTAGATGTTTCTTAGAAGGACTCGTGGGGGTCGGAAAAGTGCGTCTGCATAGAAGCATGTATGAGTAGATGGGTCGTTTTGACAGTGAAGTGTGTGCACTGTGCAGTGTGGTTCTTCGTGGTCCAAGGGCTTGTCCTCGGGCAAGTTCTTCATTTCTTCACGTCCTCAGGCGAGGTACTCATAGAGCCTGTCGCCAAGTATTCCTGCCAAGGATGACTTGAATTCCGCCAGAGAGTTCATCGTGACAGTCGAGTTGGGTAGTGCATTCCAGTCCTTCACGATCCTGTCCGTGAAGTACCGCTTTGACGAGTCGAGCTGGCGCCTCTGGACCTTGATTTTGAGGGTGTTGCCACGTGTGCGACCGGCTGGAGCCATGTCCCATAGGTCCAACGGCTTGATAGGAGACAGGCCGTGGAAGATTTTCCAGGTCTTGATAAGGTCTGCACGGAGAAGTCTGCCTTTGATCGAGTATAAATCCAGAACCTTGAGACGCTCCTCATATGTTTTGTGTTCTAGGCCTTTGATGTGACGTATCCAGAGCCTCTGCACCGCTTCAAGCCGTCGGACGTCTTCAGTGCTGTTGAAGTGCCAAAGGGCTGTTGCGGGCCGCGTGTAGGCTCCTAAAAAGCCCCACTGAACTCGTGAGAAGTCAGAAGAAATCCCCTGCTGGCTTCTGACTTCCGAGGGACCAAAACCGACCTCTGAGTTCTGAGTGTCAGCAGGCTGGCACTTCTGAAAATCCGGTCTCCCACTGCTGATTGATGATTCTGAAGGCTCAACCGCTTTAGTGACCTTACTTGGGCAGTCCCTCTGAGGGCCTCCGCCGACCGCCAGCCTCAACGGCCCCGTACTGGCCTCGAGGGTCCCATCGGTGTCCAGGGGCCCATTGCAGTTTCTGAGGACCCGTTTCGACTATGAGAATCATCCCTACGGCAAGTTTATGAAGGCCCAAGCGGATTGGACATGGATCTTCGAAAATTTCTGAAAACTCCGACTTCGGCCATTACTGCGGGCTGCCCGATCTCAACTTTGCAGCAATTTTCAAAAAAGTACCTCCATTTTTTTTTCTGACTCACGTATCTCATTGGATCCGTATCGATCTCCAAGGGTGCTCTGTCGGAGGTGCTGGTTGTGCATGCGTAATAAAACTTGTAGTAACCTATGGCTATGTCTAGAAGCAGCCATTTCTTCTTCATTTTATTGAAATGGCTATTGAATTGAAATGATCAGGGCAAGAGAGGCAAACACTACGTAGATGTAAAAACAAGACAATGACTGCTGTTATTCATTTCCCATTGCGTTATTTTCAATTATCAGTTGTGCATTGTACTTCATTGCGTGTTATTGACTGATATTGCTATGTTTTCTGTTTCAGGTGACAGATTAAAACAATTAAAAGAGAGACAATTTAAGAGATAATTAAAACAAAAAGAAAAGAACACAAGAAATGGGCGTCGACACGAAGAAAGTTGTGCTCGCTGTAGGTCTTGCAACTTTTACAGGAGTTGCACTCTACCTGCTGTATAAAAAAGTGAGTATGTGATGGCTGATATTTAATTCACTCCCATTTGGTGATGGCCCCTGTTTCATAATTAATTTACACTTAGAACGATTCATCTCACAACCCATTGTTAACCCTCGCCCGTATAGGGGGGGGGGGGGGTCGAACGGACCCCCCTCTGTTTTTCGCGAATAACTCGCGTAAAAAGCGGCCGATCGCGACGAAACTTTCAGTACCCTCGCGTTAATCAATTTTACACCTACCCTGAAAATTTCATGACCCTGACCCTAATGACCTTTGACCTGTGACCTACTTTTCGAGACCATGTTTGGCCGGAATCGCGATTCGGCGTATGTCAGCTCGCATTAGCCGCGCGTTAGCAGTCTTTTCGTGGTTTCAAGCGTTTAACCATGGGATATGATGTTGCTCCCATGCATTAGGGTGGGTGTCGAGGTCACCGGAAGGCGGAAGGTCAGGTCAGGTCATTGACCTTTGATGACCTCGGTTCACTTTTTCGAGTTTTACATGTTTCTAGGCTAGTTTTGGAGCTGAATTCGAATTTAGCAACCATTTGAACATTTACGAAGCAGTTTTGGTGCCTTTGTAATATGTTACGAAGCTGTCAGAGGCTACTACGAATACCCGGCAAAATCCTTACTGGTTGACCTGACCTGACCTGACCCGACCTGGCCTTAATGCATGAAGACATCATCAATGATCATACCTAACATGATATTCGTGATCAGCACCCCGAAAAACCCCATAGCAGCCACGTTTTACGACGTTCTAACAGGTCCCGATTTTTCCGACTTTTGGGTCATTGACCTGACCTGGAAGGTCAACTGATGACCTATGACCTTAATATTTGGTATCATTGGCTTCCTCTCGTCACGGGCAACACGCTCGTTTTTTCCGCGAAGCTCTAGCTCGATCAGGGGCGAAACGGCAAGGGGGGGGGGGGGTCCAACGTTCGTGGCTGGAAAAACACCAATACGGGCGAGGGTTAGAATACCTATTCGATAGTGTTACATAGTATCACTTGGCTGAATAGAATCCGTGGTCACAAATTACTTGCATAGATTTGTTGCCATTCAAGACCACAGTTCGCTGTTATTTCAAAAGTGTATTCACTCCGTATGTCATGTTGACGTCGCAATGATGTTACCGTGTTTGTACGACAGTCGTGTTTGTGCGACAGTCGCAGTGACGTCGTTGGGTTTGTGAGACAGTCGCAGTGACGTCGTCTTGTTTGCGCGACAGTCGCAGTGACGTCGTTGGGTTTGTGCGACAGTCGTGGTGAGGTCGTTTGTGCGACAGACGTGATGAGGTCGTTTGTGCGACAGTCGTGATGAGGTCGTTTGTGCGACAGTCGTGGTGAGGTCGTTTGTGCGACAGTCGTGATGAGGTCGTTTGTGCGACAGTCGTGGTGAGGTCGTTTGTGCGACAGTCGTGGTGAGGTCGTTTGTGCGACAGTCGTGGTGAGGTCGCTGGAGGTGTGCGTCCTATCATCACCCGTGATGAGGTCGCCGCGTCTGTGCGTTTCAGAATGACGAGGATGACGAGCTGGAGATGTACGCGGCCGACACGGCGACTTCGCGGCACACGCTGATCGAAATGGTCATCCCGAGGAACGCCGTCGGCTTCGTCATCGGACGCCAGGGCGCCAACGTCAAGGAGATCCAGGAGATCACCAACACGCGCATCAACTTCAAGGACCCCGGTACGGAGAAATGTCACTCGGAACCGCGTTATGGCGTCATGATGTACTCATTATTAAAATTGTGGTGATAGTGGGCAGTGATCTCGCTGCTGTTGGGCACTGACATTATACCGCCCAAAGGTGTATTCTAGACAGTAACAGGGAACATTTTGCAGCGCGAAACACGCATTGTAGGTTCACCAAACCACTGCACATTACACTCCCATCACGCAAATTCTGTTACGCTATAGGAGCCCACTCAGAGCATTGACTGGAGTTCCATCACCATAGTTACGGAGTTTGTGTAACGTAATCGTTTTCTTTGCTCCTTGCCACGTAATTTGTGATGCTTGTAAAACATTCACAAAGCTCGTTAAAGCACAATACGTTTCACGACGCCGATTCCATGTTTTGAAGAAGAAAACATATTTTAATGTTCATCACCGTCGGGTCTACTACCCCCTCCTGCCGTCAGTGCCGTAGCACGCGCCTCTGCCCCCTCCTGCTGTGTGCCGTAGCTCGCGCCTCTGCCCCCTCCTGCTCACTGTGTGCCGTAGCACGCGCCTCTGCCCCCTCCTGCTCACTGTGTGCCGTAGCACGCGCCTCTGCCCCCTCCTGCTGACTGTGTGCCGTAGCACGCGCCTCTGGCCCCTCCTGTTCACTGTGTGCCGTAGCTCGCGCCCCTGCTGTCCCCTCCTGCTGTTCCGGCGTAGTGCGCACCCATGCTGCCCCCTCCTGCTCTCACTGTGTGCCGTAGTACGCGCCTCTGCCCCCTCCTGCTCACTGTGTGCCGTAGCACGCGCCTCTGCCCCCTCCTGCTCACTGTATGACTGTGCGTCTATGCACAGGCGGCCCGACCGACGACCGTGTCTGCGTGATCCGCGGGAAGGCGGAGAACGCCCAGGAGGCGGAGCGGCTGATCCAGAGAGCCATCGCCGAGCAGCCCAAACTGCTGACCATCAACATCAGCGTGCCGCAGGTGGGTCCCCAGGCTGCTGACCAGGATCAGCGTGCCGCAGGTGGGTCCCCAGGCTGCTGACCAACTTAAGCGTGCCGCAGGTGGGTCCCCACTCCCCGGGCTGCTGAGTGCTGACCAGCATCAGCCTGTCGCAGGTGGGTCCCCAGGCTGCTGACCAGCATCAGCGTGCAGCAGGTGGGCGCAGCGGGTCGCAGGGCGCGTCCGTGGGGTGCAGGGACGGGGGTAATCAGCGACCTGCCCTATAGGTACTACCAGGGTGAACCGGCTGACAACCGGCTGTCCGATTAGGTCCCATGCAAACAGTGTTATTCCAGAGTGCAAAAATGACCAAGATAGACGTCTTTTTGCTGAAGCTTTCTTTTGCATAATAATTTTGATTGAATGCCTGTAATCTGTTGATCGTCAATCTTGCAACCGTCGTGTCCTCACGCACTTTCAAATGTGTGTCTAAAGATGCGTTCTTGCAAGTTGGAGTTTGCATTGTTGATAAATGAGTCTGCGTGGGTAGTCAACCAGCACCGTCAAAGTCTACAAATTAACGAATTAGATTTACCCATTATGATTTTGTTTCGCTGGTGACATTTGTGACGTCTTCATCGTGATGTGATCATGATCGGTATTTCCCTTTGGGAGTAATGAATTTCCGAGTCAGTATAGCTGTCACCTTGGGATCTGTTCATAGGTGGTAGGAATATTTTCATCTTCATCCATGGTATTGCCATTTGCTATTTATTATTCAATTCGTCACATTGATTGCATCCGTCGACGGTTGTCCGTCCCGCCGTCGCCCTGCACAGATAAGTCGGCTCTGGCTATATACACTTTTCTGGCACATATTTCTTGGCTGGGGGGGATGGGCTTTGGGACTCTGTGGATATACGCCGCCGGGCCGGCACAGTGACGTCACGCCCCAGCTGACGTCGCGCGGCCAATGGCGGAGCGGCGCGATCTGCCCCGGCGAGCCGCCACAGTCGGGGTGCAGTTATTTTTTTACATCTTAGTTTTTGTTTGCGCGTTTTTAGACGTTTTTCGGCGCAGTGTTGTTGAAGTTGCACAGGCCTATTTTACAGCTATTTTTGATTCACAAAACTGCTGCAATTTTTAGAACTTTTTTTTTGCATATCGACATTTTGATGGAATTGGAATGCATTAAAAGATGTTTATTCTTAAATCTTGAATGCCAATATAATAACAATGTGAATCGAGCCACGCTCGTAGCGAAATATTACGAATCAATGATAATAACAGTAACCGGCAGAAAATAGTTACCGCGATTGTATAAGATAATACTATATATTCCGCGTGAAATTGACAGGAGATACCACGATAATAATAGCCTAAACAAATATTGAAATAACTGAAAGTTCATAATACCCGCCTAGCACTGCTAACGCTGACCATTTTCTTCGAACATTAAATGCTTACCATACCATAACATCTGAAGATAATGAACTTGAACCTCGAAAAGCGAGTTGTCCAGTTTCAGTCTCAGTTTGTGCGGTACTGGGATACATTCATTATCAGTGAATCAAATAAAAATTGTCCGGGGCATCATGCTGTGATTATATGAACCAGATAATATGCATAAAATCTAGTTATTGGCCAAACGTAACGGCCACGGACCGTAGGTTGACGACCCCGAAATTTAGCGAAATGAAGTATAGGTTCAAGCACTTTAAATAATGCTGGTGCGTGGAGTTGAATAGTGATGTAAATGTGGCCACAGTCTACAAACACGATAACAAATATCGATTGCGCTTCCGCTTCGCTCAACGAGAGCCATGCTCGTTCTTGCTCATGAAACAGTGCATCCCCATAAAATGAAAAGTCTGAACGAATGCATTCAGGTTCCTACCTCTGAATCACCTTATATTGAGATCCGTTTGTTAACAGGAACACAAACGCGGCCCATCAATTTGTCAGTACTAAGGCAACAGCGTCTGACAAGTGACAACGCATCCAATGGCCAACTTCTGACACTATCTACCAATACGGTTACGGCAATAAAATTGCATTGCAAAATGCAAATAATATTGCACCATTTCCAAACGCAGCTTGAAACCAAGTGCGACCAGCTAGTGTCATTTTCACAACCAAGTGCGACCAGTTAGTGTCGCGAGACACATTCCAACTACATAGGTACCGCAGTAACCCATTAGGGGCGAAAGGAAACACATGTCTTGTGTACGACCAGCGTTCTGTCAGCGCGTACGACGCATAAAGCAAACTGCTCAAACAACTGCGATCCCGAACAACACAACACAGAGCTCCGAAACGAATGGTTTACAAAAGTCTACGACTGACGACATCGAAACAGTACGTTCATCGGGACTTGTCACATGACACGGTCAACCCATCTGGGTTATGGGTACTAATTGCGCTTCAAATTGACCTCTGACAGCCATTTACTTACGCTAGTTTGATGCATAAAACAGTACATTGAAACTCAAGCGGCAGCACATATGTCTCCATCAAGGTGGTTATATACAACAGAGCACCTCGCTAAAACGAGCGCGAGCCGCACTGTCACACTGACAGTTAACACTGCTCGGGGTTACATGAGCAGAGTTAATACGCATTACAAACGGACTACAATGGTGAGCGAATAGGAAAATCCGTTCCTGATACGCATTTACTTGCTCATGTAACCCCGGTAACTGAGCCGCGAGTCGTGACAGTCGCACTGCGTCATATGCACGCAGATGTCGCACTCACGGCACCGTTGCTGGCACTGCACTGCGGGTGGACACGCGCGGTGCAGTAGCTCCACGGTGTGCGGCTCACCGGAGGGATTATCAGTCTCCGACCGGACAGTCCAGGCGGGAAATGCAGTGTCTTCAATCATGACCGCCGTCCCCGTCTCCGCGGAGTGCCGCACGGCGGCGACGCGGCGGCGTCGGATCTTGAGCTGGTGGACACTGGACTCCTGCCAGAGCTACCAGCTTCAGCCCTTCAGCATCCTGTCATCAGCAAACTCCAGCAGAGCTCCAATGCAACTGGGAAAATAAAATTTATGCTGTTAAGCTAAATCATGCAAAACATTTCCTTGCACAGGATTCTCTTGCGCAGTTCAGCAAAATCTTCTGTGATAACTGATATCCATGGCCGTGACAAGAGGACTTGATGCCATTGTAAAAAATATAGGTTCATTGGTTCTCATTTACACACATCGAGCCTCTATAGGTACCATTCACTTGTATATCATGAAGTATGTTAACTACAAAATATTTATGCAATAGACTGACATGAAATATGTAGGAATGGCAAGAGAGATGGGTAAATAAGCTAAATAGGTTGCAGGATTTATTGGCACCAAACAGGTTAGAAAGTAGAAGTTCAAACAATCTTACAAACTACACCAGAGAAAGTCTTTGAATTAGGCACAAAATTATGCCACAGAAATAAAAACAATGCAGTTTTGTACAGCATTTCCCAAAAGATAATTGTGATTCAGCCTTGCTCTCATCTGAGATTGAATAAATACAAATTATGAGGTGAAAGTTACTAAAAAGCAGTTTTTTTTTTTAGAAAACAGCTTCAATCCATGTTTGTTTGATTTCAAACTCAAGGCAACATCTCATAGCTTTGACAGCATGAAATTTCATTATTGAGGTTACAATTTCCATAATCTTGTCACAAACAGTGCACTTAAAGGGACTATCCCACCTTTAACATGGGGTTTGAGTTGAGATAGCCAAGTTTGCGGCGAGGTTCAGAAACCACTTTCTATCTAGGTTGCAACCCCCGCGGCCTCTTGGTGTTGAAGAAATTCGTTCCCTTCATTTGAAAATGGGCCTTGTACAAGGCCCTATCTTCAACATGGAGCGACCGTTAGTGTGACGTCACCTCGTTTAGTCATTCTGATTTAACTGGGTTTGTTCGTTGAAAAATCGCTTAAAACTTGGTCTGAACTTTGTTGTGGTGCCTACAGAGTAAAAAGAATCAGCTTTATGACAGTAATGTGGCCTGGGGAAGGAGGTAATTTTGGGCTGTGACGTCACATATTTGAAAGTTTGTGTTTGGAATATGGGAAGCCTAAGATGTTTAATGAAAAATAAATGCCAGAACCGTGTTCCTGGTCATCCAATCTATAAAGTCAGGCACAATTTAATTGGTTTTAACAACATTTTAGAAGGTGGGATAGTCCCTTTAATATGGATAACTAACACCAAATCAGCCAACCTTGTATCTTTATCTGGTGAAACTCAAGAAACCAATAAAGCAAACAATTTCTGAGCAAAACATTTAGGTATTTGACAAGCTCGACTACTGCCATGCAGCCTAATGATCGTTGTTACAGATTAAATACCTACTTTTCAAATATAAATTTGGTAGTTCAATATATAATGAAATACCCAGCTCAATAGAGGCAATTATGATAATGACAGCAGGTAAGCAAAGTAAAAACAAAATCAAATATTTCTTCTACAGAAAAAAGCACTTGTACCAACTTAACTTAATTTTACTAAATCACTTATTTGAATATCAGTCATCACCAGACTTGCAAAAAAACTTTCCAGATATTATGCTTCAAAAAAAAAATAAACAAAGTATCTGAAATTGCACAATATAAGCACCAGCCACTGGAGCGGTATGATGGGGTCTCGTAACTTGAATGTTCGGTCTGTAAGAGCATGCCTGACTTGACTTAACGGCTTTGAGACATCACCTTTGCAGCAGCTCCTTCTATTCTTTTTTAACATAAACTTAAACTATCATTACCATGCTATGATGATGAGGTGGCTGGGTTTCGGGCGCATGAAAAGTAGCAGCCCTTCTTTCCTTCTATTTCCTTGATTTCACATGCCACACAAAACGTTTTTTCTTCCACGTTCCTTCTATCATTATAAAAAATAATAGGTATCATAATTGCTTCACTTCTTCTTTATATTCCAAGTATTGCCGCTGCAATTCATCACATCTCCCGTTAGTAAACCATTGCCCCCTATGGCCGCTAAAGTAAATAAGTGGAATGCGCCAGAAATTGTCAAAATCGCGCCAAAATAGCAAACTAAGATGAGAAAAAATAACCGCACCCCACAGTCGCCGCGTCTCTGCCCGGCCACCAGCTGCACATAACTCCCCCGGCCCGGCTCAGCAGCGGCGCTCGGAGCCGGCCGGCCGGCCGCGGTATGAGCGTCTGCTGACGGCTGTCTCCTACTGGCGCGTTTGACGAAAGCTTCGTCGGCATACGCTGTCGCCGTGACGCGGCGGCCAATCGTACCGTGGCCTCTGATTGCCCCTGACCAATAGCTGAGAGCGCGGCACGGCTGGCGCCGCCGGCGGCTCCAATAATGTCTGTGCTGGCCGCGCGTGGCTGGGCCGCGATCGGCCCTGCGCCGCGCTGCTGAGGGAGGGTGAAAACGATGGACGGGGGTGCTAAAATCGACAGACACCGTTCGGAATCCGGTGTCGGCAGTCGGCTAGTCGGTTATCCAGTATTCATGCGAGCTGCTTCCTCAAGAACGGCTTGTGAACTATGTGAGTGAATTAACTGTCTAACCTTATTCACTATGTTCAGTCTGTCGATGTGCCACCAATGCTGATATTGCGACCAGGGGTGTCGATTTCTCAAAATGGTTGGGGGTGCTCAACTCCTGCACCGGGTGAAAGATTGCAGCTTTGCCATGGGCACAACCGTACAAGGCATGGTTGGGTATCCCCATAAGGTACTGATAATCCCGGGATTTCCACTAATATTTCCCAAAGGTTGAACGTTCTTCAAAATCATTCTGCTCGTCCTAGTACTTGGCTACCTCATTACATAAACATCTTTCCGAAAAAGTCGTACATTTGCCGGCAGCTCCGCAGCAGCCCCAGCACCTCTGTAATAAGGTGACAGAAACCGATGACCGCGGTTAGCACCGGTGCAGCAGCCCCTGCGGTCCACAGGGGCGGACATTGCGCGGGAGGCAACGGTATAGCTACGAGGCTCTGGCGTTAATCAGACGATCACAATAATCGTTAAAAAATGACAGGTGATCGCATTTCGATATTTATGGGTTTACGATTTCCCTCAGTGGCGTAGCCAGGTGGGCCCGTGAGGCAAATGCCCCCCCCCCCGTTAGGTTCAGGGGCCCATCGGGTTATTCGGGCCTGAGGGTCACTGCGGCGCCAATTGGCCGCTGAGGGTCCAGGTTGGCTATATTTGGACTCAGAAGGGCCCCACAAGGCTCGTAAGAACACCTCATGGGCCCACAAGTACCAACATTAAGATCTTCATAAGGGCCCAAGCCAGCCTCCGAGGGCCACTTGCCGGCCTCTGGGGGTCTTAACCGGCCTATAGGGGGCCAGCTCTAGGAGCTGCACACCCGCCTGTAATGGCCCCACACCCATTTCTCTGAGGGCCCCAATAACGGCGACTGTGAGGGCCCTCACCGGCACCCCTGAGCGCCACCCCGGCGTCTCTGAGGGCCCCACACCCCTAACTCTGAGGCCCTACACCAATGCCTTTAAAAACCCTACATGGGCGGTTCTGAGGGCCCTTGTCAGTTACCAGCGACCCTGACGGCCCCACACAGGTGACTCGGAGGATCCCAGCGGCGTCTGAGCGCACCATGCCAGTCTCTGAGAACCACACAAGGCTCCTGAAGGCACCGGTGACCTCTTGATATCTTCTTGTCGGCCTATGAAGGGTCCGTTCCGTAACAGCAGTTCTGAGGGCCCCACGCGCGCCTGTGATGGCCCTAAACCAGTGTCTCTGAGAGCCCCCACAACGGCGCCTGTGAGGGCCGTCACCGGCGACTGTGAAGCCCCCACACCGGCGCCTCCAGTCCGAGGGCCCCACATTGCCATATCTGAGGGTCCCACACTAGTGCCTCTTAAGGCCCTATATCGGTGGCTCTGAGGGCCCAACATCGTAGCTTCTGAAGGCCCCACAAGTGCGCATGTGACGGCCACCCTGCCACCGGTGACATTTGAAGGCCCCACACCGGCGACTGAGGGCTCCATCGGCGTCTAAGTCCGTTCCGGTCTCTAAAGACGACCCCACAGGGTTTCTGAAGGTACCACCGGCCTCTGATGGCCCTTAGCCGGCCTCTGAGGGCCCGTCGCCGGTCTCTGGAGCCCCCTGCTGGCTTGTAAAGGGTACGCGCCAGCAGCTCTAAGGGTCCGACACCCGTGTACGACGGACCCACACCAGTGTCTTTACAACTTAACGTCTTTTTTTCGCTCTTCTTCTTAAAACTAATTTTTCTGGCTTTACATCTTTATTTCATGCCTTGTAAATTGCGTAATTGTTTTATTTTTATTAGTGAAAGACTGCAGAACAATTATTTTCCTCAAGCAGAGTTAGTGGGAGTTATTGAGGGACAAAATCATTGGGGGTGCCCGGAAAACCATTGGGGGTGCTCATTTGAGCATTGGGGGTGCTGCAGCACCCCCAAAGGTATACAAATCGACACCCATGATTGCGACGTTTCTAAGACCGCGCTTTTTAGTTGAATGCGTGGCGCAGTTTGTAAAATGCTGAGTCGCTGACCACACCTTTTAGCGATCACGGATCGGAGCACTTATAATAACGGCAAATAACTCAACCGCGGAAAGACCTCCAACACCTTGCTACAGCCACAGCCAACATTACTTTACCAATACAGCGGATACAGCGGCGTCTGATGCATTTATTTATCTTTATATCTTATTAGCTCGCCTTTATTTATTTAGTCTGGCCATTTATTTATATATGGAATCACGGCACCTACGCACGCATGTGAACGGACATTACAGAGATCTACGGCAGCGCCGATGACATGAACTAGTTCAGGTTCATCACTGGTGTAATTAATTGTGCTGGTGAACTCATCCCTCCTTCCCTGTCTATTTCAGCGCGCCTGCGGGCGGATCATCGGACGGAACGGCGACTCGATCCGCGAGATGTGCGCCGTCTCCGGGGCCAAGATCATCGTGGACCGCGAATTCCGCACGCCTGCCGGTGGGTGATCTCAGTGACCGGTGACGAATTGCGGACGGGGGTGCCGGGAGAATCTGCTAGATCTTCTACAGGGTGGGATGGACAAATTGAGACACATTGTGTTTATCAATTCAAATGCAGTTTGCCGGTTAACCAAAAAACAATCAGTCAGAAATATATTTATTTCGTGACACTGGCATCGTTGTAGAGCATTCTCACTCGATAAACCCTCCCTCTGCCGCCACCATCCTCTCCAGCCGGCTCCTGAACCTGCCGCACGCGCGCTTCACGACAGCTCGGCCCATGGCCGCCATCGTCTCCTCGATGGTCCGCTTCAGAGCCTCCCTGGAGGGGTGGGGGCTTTTGTTGGAGACCCTCTTAACTTCGCCCCAGAGAAAGTAGTCCAGGGGGTTGAGGTCCGGAGAGTTGGGGGGCCAGAACTCCTTGGTCCACGTCAGGTGCATGTTCTGCCGGCACCACTCCTGCGTCTTTTTTGCTGCGTGTGCGGGTGCTGAGTCTTGCTGGAAGACATATCCAGCTCCTCTCGTGACTTCCTTGATCCAGGGCAGGATCAAGGAAGTCACGAGACTTCCTTGATCCTGAGAGATTTCCTCTCGTGACTTCCTCCTCGATCAGAGCCTGGAGTTGCTGCAGAAACGCCGGCGTTCTCTTCTTCCCAGGCCCTGATTTACGCTTTTTACGCTCGGGAGTCACCTCTCCTTCATCCTCGCCATCTCCACCGCCCTCCTGCGCCCGCACACGCTTGGCAATGCGGTACACCGTGCTCCGTGGGACACGCAGGAACTCGCTGATCTCTGCCGGGCTCCTCCCTGCGCGCAGCGCCTGGAGCACGGCGGCTCGGCGATCGTACTCGGCTCCGCGACCAGACATGATTTGACCTGACCTTGGGTCACCCTCGCTTTTATAGCATCTGAGGGCCGTGCCAGCGATGCGACCAATCAGATTGCGGTTATAGCCGAGGCGTACAACCGCGTAGAAACTTGTCTCAATTTGTCCATCCCACCCTGTATATCAGTAGATATATCCTACGACCATGCATGTAGTCGTACTTACGGTTGCCAAATTTGAAATCAACAGAGCACACCAAAGGTGCTTAAAAACAAACAAAACAAAAAAGGAACAAATAAGTAGACAAATAATAAAAGAAAAAAAATGAAACGGAACTTGTGGAAATGCCATCCAGCCTGTAATAAAATGCATGAAAATATGCATGGGAGAAATAAGCTCGAATTTTGCTTACAGCTCATCGAAAGCTTGGTACACATTTTATTGTTTTTATCGTAAGCTAGCTGCTGGCCATTCTGAATGAAAATGCATTATGAATTTAATGATTGACAGAAAGTATATTCGTCATAGTAAGTGACTTGTTAGAATTATCGCCTGAACTACTCAATCCCCCCTCGGCAGCACGGCGGACCCTGGACGTTCACTAGCCCCCGCGTGTGCGTTCCTCCGGCAGACGGTATGCGGCTGATCACCATCAAGGGCACCGAGGACCAGCTGAGCACGGCCAAACAGCTGATACAGACCAAGGTGGAGGAGGAGGAGGCCATGCAGCGGCGCATCGAGCTGTCGGCCGCCAACCGGGCGCCGCGCACCAAACACAAGCCCGACGCCGGCAAATCACAGGTGGGAGACACACAGACCAACAACCGCCAACCGGGCGCCGCGCACCAAACACAAGCCCGACGCCGGCAAATCACAGGTGGGAGGCAAACAAACAGCGATGAGCAAACACGAACCGGGCGCCGCGCACCAAACACAAGCCCGACGCCGGCAAATCACAGGTGGGAGACACAGACTAACAAACACAAACCGGGCGCCGCGCACCAAACACAAGCCCGACGCCGGCAAAACACAGGTGGGAGAGCCGACTAAACACAGGTCACAGGTGGAACAGACACACAAACAGCAAACACAAACCGGGCGCCGTGCACCAAACACAAGCCGGGCGCCGTGCACCAAACACAAGCCGGGCGCCGGTAAAACACGGTGGGAGACAGACATATACTCCAACAGACACAAACCCTAAAAAATCTGACACCGCCATACCACAGCGGCCCAGGTGAGCGCGGTACGTATGACGGCGGTGAGGGCGCCATGCGCCGGGCTCTGAGGGTCGCCCACATTATTTGTTCGGCAAGAGTTCACTGACTCTGTCCAAAAAGCTACCAATGTTTCCGACAGCAAACTTCTCCATTCCTCTCCCTCCTTTCCATATTTTGTCCTTCCCTCTGCTCAATCCTTTCTTAACCTTTCTCCTTCCCCTGTAGCTGTCCCCTCTGGCTATGTCTACATCGTCTCACTCACTCACTCACCCACTCACTCACGGCTAGGTTTAGGCCGCTGTAGTTCGTGAATGCATAGTCTAGGGCGTCAGTCTTGTGTTTGTTTTAGAGAAGAGTTAGGTACTCGTTCTTTTTCCTGTATGGAAATGGAGACTTATCGAGGAGCAGCGACACCTACAGTCTACGAACTGCACAGTGTGGCGCACCGTCATAGTTCCTCGCTCAAATGCATGGTCGTGGACAAAACAAACATGAAACTACACATTTTACCGGGTTTTGTTGTTACAAAAAGGGTGTTAAAGCATCCGTGTTTTATTTAAAATCAACATAGGCTCAACCAAAGCTGCATGGTTACGCACTTCAATGGTATTCACCGATTTCTCCTCTCCCATTTCTGGACATATATGCCATAGTCATCATCCCATCCCCATATTTAGTTGATATCCCTTAGGCTCTTGTCCGTGCGTGCTATTTTTGTCTAACGATTATCTTAATTCCTTTGCTTTATCATACCAGTATAACGCCTTTTGGGGCGACTAAGGCCGCGTTCCCACTACGACCGTTCAACATCGTAAAGTGAAATAACGGGAGAAAACCGGCAAGATCGGCAAAATCACAGCATGCATTTTTACGATCTCTGCCGGTGGTGGTGGGAACCGGGTATTTGACACGTGTTTTCGGATGGAGACATTTGTAAGGTTTTGAAAGTTTGCTCCCCATGTTGGTTGGTTGGTGAGGTCGCCAAAAAGTTGAACAGTGTTCAACTTTTTGAACGTTCTTGAAGGTTTGTGCAGATATTAAATGACACTAATAAGCATTTTTAGGCAGTGCATAGAGCAGGAAGCCCTTTTTGGGAAGTTTCTTGATATTCAAAGTGAGAAGACAAGCAGCAAGGCATGAAAGGTGGTGCATTTTATAACTTTAATTATATACATATGTAGATGTAGGCGAGCGCTAAGTGGCGATGAATAACAACTTTTCGGCAGGTTTACCGTAGGTCTAGTGCAATTTATTCATTTACCTACCATCAGCGCCTGGAAAATAAGAATCTTACAAATAATGTCATGCCACTGCAAATGCGGCGCAAATCGCCGCGACGGTCTCTGTCAAGACGCGCCACGTGGTGAACACCATCAACGTGCGGTCCACCAGGCGCGTCAACACAGACGCCCTGTGTCTGGACCTGCTCCAAGCAGACTGGTCACCGCTGTACGGCGCCAACTCCACGTCTGACAAGTGGAGCTGCTTCCTGAGCACATGGAGCCCCATTATCGACGCCCATATGCCGATGCGTGTAATCAAGCTGAAGCACAGACCGTACCCGTGGTTGCAAGACGACGACGTCAGAGAGGCGATGGCTGCGCGTGACCAGGCGCGTGTGGACCGCCAGCTGACTTCATGTGACGCCACCGAGGCCGAGTTTCGGTTACGCCGAAACGCCGTCAAGGTGGTACTAAACCGGGCGTGCGCTTCATACTTCCAGACATCATTCAGGAACTCGAGATCGAAGACATGGCGTGATATCCGTCAATTTCTCGTCTCATCAGGGAAGGCAGCGCCCCGGGCAAGCACCGAATCGGGCAAGGACTCGGAATGGAACAGCCGTCTTAACAGCTTCTTCGCGTCAGTGGGGGGAGACGTGGCGAGGTCGCTGGCGGCCGCCGACACCGGGGAGCCACTGCCGCCGCGCCCGCCGCGGGTTTGCAGTGACGCGTTCTCGCCGCGGCCTGCCCAGCTACCGGAACTGTCTGCCGCGCTGCGACAGATGAGCTCGTCCCGCGCGAGTGGCCCCGACGGCATAACTGTCGATATGCTGAGGAAGACGTTTGCTGTTGTGGGGCCCCATCTGCTACACCTGATTAACTCTTGCGTCACTAAATGCGACATGCCTGACCAGTGGAAGTCTGCCGTCATCATCCCGCTGTATAAGAAGGGCGACCGGCAGGACCCGAGCAACTACCGGCCGATATCTATCATTCCTGTTGTTGCCAAGTTGTGTGAGCGCGTAGTATGTTCCCAGTTGACGTCGTACCTAGACCGCAACGCTCTGCTCTGCCCGCAGCAGTATGGCTTCAGGCCCGGCATGTCCACGGGGGCGGCTATGCTTGACGTTGTCACGTATGTCACTGACAATATCGACAAAGGCCTCGTGACGTCACTCGTGACAGCCGATACGTCCAAGGCGTTCGACAGCGTCGAGCATGGCCGCCTCCTGGACAAGCTGGGCTGGTACGGGATTCGAACTGACTGGTTTTCTGACTGGTTGAGTGGGCGCAGTCAGGCTATCGGGTCGTGTTCGCTGAGCGTGACGCACGGCGTGATACAGGGGTCCATTTTGGGACCGAGCCTGTATTTGCTTTTCACCAACGACCTGGCCCAACATCTGTCAAATGTCAAACTAGTGATGTACGCTGATGATGTCCAGATCCTTGACGCTGACACTCCCAGTAACGTCTTGGCCATCAAAAACCGCATCGAAAGTGACCTATCTGTACTCGTGCAGTGGTTCACTCAGAACCGGCTGAAAATTAACCCATCCAAAACTGAAATGACCATTTTGAAATCCAGTCGTCAAAAAACTAACACCAGTTTCTCGATCCACTTTGGCGGTGACGTAGTTTCACCTTCACCGAGCGTCAAGGTTCTGGGCATCACCATCGACTCTCACCTGACGTGGGATTCACATGTCACGTCTGTCGTCCAGCGCTGCAACATGATACTTGTTAGCCTAGCGAGAATGCGGAACAGGCTGCCGACGGAGACTAAGCGCCTGCTTATCGAAGCGTTAGTGTTTCCGCACATACAATACTGTATTAGCGTATGGGGTGCCTGCTGCATCGCTCAGAGGAAACGCATCCAAAAGGTGCTGAATTTCGGCGCACGTGTCGTGTCTGGCCTCAGCCGAAGAGATCACGTGACTCCTGTGCTTAACGAGCTGGGTTGGAAGTGTGTGGACGACTTGATTCGTGACAGTGACGTAGCTGTGGTTAGTCGCCTACTTACTTCGGACAGTGCACCACAAATCCTGCGGAGCAAGTTGGTGCTCAGCTCCGACGAGTCAGCTCGCACCACGCGTGCGACCGAGCGGGGACAGCTGCGTCTGCCCCGGGTCCGAACCGAGTTCGGCCGTCGTGGATTTTTGTTTCGCGCCAGCCAGCACTGGAACGAGTCCTCAGGAGCGCGTCAACAGTAGGTGTGGTCGACTGGTTAGTGTACCGGAAGATGTCTTAGATGTGTATTTTACTCTGTGGTTTCACTTCTATCCGGTTTTACTGCAGTGTTTTATCCAGATGTGTTTTCGCATGTATACGACGTGGTCACCACAAAACCCATTTAATGGAGGGACCTAATAAAATTGTATTATTGTATTGTAAATAACAAACGTTTATTTACATCATCTAACAGTGATACATAGCTGTAGCAGCACTTGCTCTTGTGAAACTAAAGGCAGAGTTTCCGACAATCGTGGCCACCGGCGTCGTCGCTCACTTATGACCTCAAACGGGCGGCCACTCCTCGTTCAACACACGCAGCTTCCGCCGTCGAATCGTCACTGAGGGCCTCATTCGAGGCTCAAACAATCACAGTGTCTTCTGGATCAAGGCCATCTGGACCGCGCCATGTGATTGGGATGACCAAATACGAAGCATGTGATTGTCATTGGGCTGTCTGGTCCTTGTTATGCACATCGCATGCGACTCTTGAGCGAATGATCCTCGCTATGTCAGAACAGGTGCTACTTGCACTTCATCTCCCTCTTTTCGTAGCACCGCTCCGGAACTCAGAATCTCGGAGATAGATAAAGTAGCCACCCGGTTGCGCGCCAGCTACCAAGAGTTGCATCGTAGATTCAGATAGACAGGATTGGGACCTCAAACGCTTAGGCCAAGATCTCCTCTGGAAGACCGCTGCATTGTAATGCCACGCCACACTGCAGAGTCAGACAAACGTCGACAGTTGTCACCATCTGCTGTGAACCGTTGTGCTCGAATACACTCGTTTATCTTCATTGAGCACACGGCGTCAGTTTCCTTGCTGAACTCAAGTGTTTCTCGTCTGTTCAGTTGATATTAGTATAATTGCCTTTATACGATTCGCATCGCCTGACGAGATGGCGTAGTCACATGATGATGGTGACATGAGCTGTGACACTGCTGTAAGTTGGAATGCCGGCTCCATATACTTGTACTCGTATACCTATATCGCTGAACCTGTGTCGGCCAATTCAGTTGCATTGCAGCCTGCTTCAACTTGCTAGATGTTTTATCGAGGATTGCCACAATAAACTGTTAAGAAATCATCGGAACTGGCAATTTATCGGTTACAGCTTCCCGAAGGTATTGACAGCAAAACCACAATGAGTTATAGCAACTGCACATATTTTCTCTTCTGCTTTTCGTTGACATTGTTGAGAGATTTCTCATGCTCGCGTACTTTCAACACGCTGATAACTTATGAGTTTTTCTAATTTTATCTTTCATTCAGTTGCATGGGATCTTTTACCACGTCAACTACCTATATTCTGAACTTTTTTTACAATAGCTTATTGTGCCGATCCCTCCTTCATCATCGCTCCTCTCAACCGGCTTTGTCCAAGCCGTTTGCCGATGTCTCACGATGTTTCCCCATCTTGCCCCGTATACCAGATCTAGGGAAGTGTTCAACTTTTTTAGAAAAGTCTCTAGATCAACGATCTCGTCCGTTTTCTCCCTTTCTTGCAATTTACGATGTTGAACGGTCGTAGTGGGAACGCGGCCTAACGGAGCGAGCGAGAGGGTGGGCCTTGCACGTGCGAAATTTCGTGGGGGTACCTCCAACTGAATCGAGCACGGCACCCTACTAACCGGTCTCTAGCATTTAGCAATATGCCAAATTTGAGCACAATCGGCCCAGCCGTTCTCGAGATCTGGAAGCGGCACCCTGCACGTGCGCACGTGCAAAATGGGTCCCAACTGACTTGTGCACGGCACCCTACTAACTGGTCCCTAACCGTGTACCAAATTTGAGCGCCATCGGTCCAGCCGTTCTCGAGATCTGGAAACGACCCCTGCACGTGCGCACGTGCAGCAGCACCCCAATTCTGGCACATGGATATGCAGTGCCTAGTGGGTGCCTACCTACATGCCAACTTTCAGCACAATCGGCCAAGTAGTTACCGAGATATTGCAACAATTACAAAACGGACACCTCTTCGTTTTGCACGTGGCACGTGCATAAGGGGTCACCCACATGCATTGGGAATAGTCCAATACTTGGTAGAAGGAATGAAGCTACCCTACAAAAATTACCGCGTGTAAATCGGTCAAGTGGTTGCTGAGATATAAGCCTCGCAAAAGCGTCTGCACGGCCGGCCGGCCGGCCGGCCGCTTATACTCAGAAATTTCCGTTAATCTAAGGAAAGACTACGCTCGCTTCGCTCGCTCCGTAATGAAAGGCCACCCGGTACCTATACCACCACCGGGTGCCTACTGCCCCCTACTGCCTACAGAGTGGTGCGCTCTCAAAAAGCTTTTGTCAAAATATCATTTTATCATCATTTTTCATACTATTATCATTATATTATGACATCACATCATATTGTCATCATGTCAAAATATCATTGGAGATACCTCAAAACAGAGGGTCTGTTGACACGATGTGCTCACGTCTCTGGTCTTTGGGTAGGGCGCCGGCGACCAGCCAGTGCCGACCCGCGAGAGTCTGGTGGCCACCGGCGCCGACGGCTATCTGGAGGTGTACGTCTCTGCCGTGGACACGCCCGGACACTTCTGGGTCCAGGTCAGTCGCCCCCCCCCCCGCTGTCCCGGGGAGGGACGGAGGGGGGTGTGCGGCGGCGTGGGGATACTGGGGTGATGTGGCCTGGCGTGGCGGTGACACAGTGTTAGGTGCCCTGGTGTGTCACCAGAGCAAATGTACGTGCTGAGAGGAGCCGCCATGTCTCGAGTCCGAGTGTGTGGGATGGAGGGTACAACCGGGTAAGCGGCGGGTGGCACAGTGCTGTAAATGTGTGCAGCAGCTGAGTATGTTATCATTGTACTTTGCTCTCCCGTCAGTGCCTGAGTTAGGGCTGCGTCGGTAGATGGTGCATACACAGTCGCAATGCTCGTGAAATCTGTCACATCAGACGTAGGGTAGGGTGGGGTAATTTGAACATGTAGGGCAATTTGAACATAGTGTGAAAAACACAAAATTACGGAAAATCCATAAGTGGCATGACAATATGACCAATGAGGGAAATTATCGTAACTAAAAGGACTATCATATGAACGGGGTTTAAAGTTTCATGGAATGAAGTTGCTGACGCCTACTGTAAAAAATCATTTTCGCAAGTAAAAACGCCTAAAAACACGTCATTGCAACTTCGTTGCAGCGCAAAATCTTGCATTGCTAGCGCCTAATACGCAACGGCTTTTGTTGTACAATGACCTAATCAGTGCCTTCAATCCAAGAAATTTGCTTTTGAAACCTGTTTTTAAATATGGCAAAATAACTTTTAGCGTGGGGTAATTTGAACATAGTGTGGGAATTTCAATGCAGACAGGGATAGCTCCGAAAAAATAACGCTCCCAGTTTTTTTTGCCAATATTTTCGACCCAAAGCAGTAGCAGATAAGTGATGCCAGTTTTATAGAATTTACGTCTGATATCCGTCTAAGGTCCGGCATTTTTGTTGATTTCCGTTTAAAAATGTTAAAGTCAGCCATTTGTCCAAATATGTCCGAAAATTAGGCATTAATAAACATTCAAAACTGTCATTTAAATTGCTTATAATGTACTTTTACCAGCCGAAAAGTGTTCATTATATTGAGAGCTTAACAAGCTTTCCATTCGCCAATCAATGCTATGCACGATTACTTTATAAAAAGCGCTGAAGTGTGGCAAGCCATCGTCCAATGTTGTCCAGTCTGCTACCTTTGTCCTACCAATTCCGAATTGGACATTGCAATTGGACAAAATCAGAACTCCAAATGTCCAGGTTTCGATTGGCACCACTATAAGAGATGCAGTAAGGATGGGAGAGTTTTTATCGAACAAAAATGATAGACGTTCTGTAAATTGAAGACAGACGAATTCTGTCAACTGACCGGTGTGCAGCGTGCAGATATTGATACTCTGCAACTGTTATTTTTGTTGTTGTGTTGATTTTTCAAGTGAAGGTATGTTTAGAATTTGTTTATTTGTCTGCCTATTTGTTTATGGGTCAAACAACATCGGCGTTGGCAAGACTATCGTTTTTATGACAGGTAAAGGCAGTATGTTCAAATTACCCCACGGTGGGGCCATTGGAACACACCGTGACTTGGTGGAGAAGTGAGGCTATGCTTTTCAAGGCATGCTTGGCTCGTCCAAAAATGAGGCTTGCATGGTGAAAGCAAGTGACACTTGCGCTCCTGAAGCAGTTTTTCTTCATCCAGGGTTAAGCTGGAATTTGGTGCAACGGAGAAGACGTAAAAATATGTTCAAATTACCCCACACTACCCTATTACCTGCACTTCAAGCTGCCTGACTTCTCAACAGGAAGTGATTTGCCATTGCGAAGGCCCGGGTGGGGCTGGATGTGATTTGGGCTCTTAGTCTTCACTGTCCTCTGTTGTGGAATAGAGGTCATTACGTCACCGGTTCAGTCGACCGTTTATAGTACGGGCTTCATTTAAGGTCCTTATGATCTAATATGATCACATCACGTCATGTGCTTGTGTAATCTGATGGGATCATGCTTCATGCAACCTGCATATTTATGACGTGTCTTTTATTATGGCGCATCGCTGAGCTTCGGCATCCTATCGGGGTTGTATGTCGTGGCCAATAGTTCTTCTTTGGGCAATGCTCCGTAATAAGTCTTGTCTTGCCCGCCTGGTTTCCCATGATTCTCGCTCATTGAGCTACTTTATTGGATTCATTATGCATGCTTGCAGCATTACACTAGGTATCTACCCGTAAGTCAACGCGACTTTTTTCCTTTCCGCCTACTTTTCGATGATTTTCGCTCATTGAAATGCTTTATTGGATTCATTTTGCATGCTTATAGGATTACACAAGGGAACCCTCCGTGTAAGGCTACGCTAGGCAAATTCTTTCGAATTGCAAGTATATCCGCCAGTACGATTTCACTAAGCCGTTGAACGTAGTCACCACGCAAATGGGTGTGTTCCATCACGAAAATAGACGGCGAATCGGTGTCAGTCCATCAATGGTTGTCTAGTTTGGCGAACATAAAACGGCAGTGATGTGTCTTATATATCCCTTCGCGCTTCCGCAGGTCCAGTCTCGGAGAGCTATCCTGTTTGGCCGACACACAGCAGCAGTGTACATAATGTGTGCCTGATATCGCTGTGACTCCGCAGGTCAAGCCTCCGAGAGCCATCCTGTTTGGCCGACACCTAGCGGCAGTACCTATATGTGCCTGACATCGCCGTACTTTCGCAGGTAAAGTCTCCGCGGGCCATCGAGCTGGACAAACTGGTGGAGAGGATGACGGAGTTCTATTCGGAGGAGAGCAACCGCAACATGTACAAACTGAAAAAGGTGAGTGGAGCGGAATACCGTCATTGGGACACGGATGACGCAAAGGAGACACGAGAGGTCGGAGCCAAACCATACCGCCTTGTGTTGCCAATAGAATATTATTAGAAACGCACTGTCATATCCCATACGCTGACACTCACTAGTCCACACTCACTAGGCTATATCCCACAGCTGAGACTTTAGATCATGATTCAGCCTGCACCAGTGAAATTCAGAAATGAAACTTCAGTGCCGTAAATCTGTCGCCAACATCGATGTCGCGTGACAGCCTGACAATCGTGGTTTTACACGCACCATCTCAGTATGTTACAACTCACAACTTCTACGTGACTGGTACTTTAACTGACAGTATTCCTTTACTCTGTCAGCAACAGATCTGTCATACGATCAAGTACAGGAGGCATATGCTTTATCATCGTAAGACTCGAGGGTCGTCTCGGATTTGTGAGAGGATTTGTTTGTACGTGCTTTCAATGTAGTGAGTGTACAACAACCATGCAAGATAATCGATACCGCCGTGTCTATTGTACTAGTGTCATGTCCCAGAATGTGGTGAACCCTGGTGATATCGTGACCCTGTAACAATTTTTATTGCGAAGAGGTAGGTCAGTTGCGCGCGTCCCGTCCGACCGTTTCCCTGACGGCCGGTCGCCGACACTGAAGCTTCCCTCGCCGGCCGACAGGTGGCGGTGGGTGACGTGGTGGCGGCGCCGTTCCCGTACGACAGCTCGTGGTACCGCGCCGAGGTGACCGAGCTGGCCGAGAACGACTCGGACCCCGACCAGACGGCGCTCACCGTCTACTACGTCGACTTTGGCGACACGGATACGGTGCAGCGGCGCCAGGCGGCCGAGCTGCGCACTGACTTCCTTGGGCTCAGCCACCAGGCCGTCGAGTGCTTCCTCTCGGGAGTGAAACCCTCGTGAGTCACCCGGCCTGCGGTCGGGGTCTGCGCCTTCCCGCCCGCCGCCGGCTCGTTAGTGGAGCAGGAATGGCACAGATGGGAATTTGTGGAGTAGTTGTGGAAATTATCGTGTCGTCATATTTAGGTTTGTGATGAGCTTTCCTCCCTTGTTCTCCTCATATTTGTTTTCATAGTGTATGGCTGTGAAAGTACAGCTGACGTTTTGCCTTCTACGAAACGATTAATCCTGACCCGACACAATGGGTTGACCTGTCTACTGTCTAGACCCTGACTCGACCCGCCTCCTTTCCATCGGCTTGTGGGTCACCTCACATTGTGGTTCTCACTTCCCCCTCAGTAGCTAGCAATTGACCCGACGTGTCCCGTCCCTCCCCCATGTAACGTTTGTTATTGATACAACCTGACCAGTACCACGCGTTAGTTCTGGCGGTGGCTGTTTTCTAATTGACCTTACCTGTCCCGTCCCATCCCTGCTCAGTGGCTTCTATTGAATTTCACCTGTCGGTGTGCGTTCTTCTTTTGTAATGGGTGTAACTGACTTGACCCGTCCCGTCCCCCGGGCAGGGCGTTACTGATCCACCCCGTCCCCTTTACAGCGGGTGCTCGTGGACGGACGCGGCCGGCGACTGTTTCGAGGAGCTGACGTACGCCGCCCAGTGGAAGTCGGTTATGGCCAAGGTGGTGCGCTACCAGCAGGCCGGCAGCAGGAAGGTGCCCGTCGTCGAACTGGTCGACACCAACTCCGAACTGGTACGTACTCGGCGCCTACCCGTGGGGTACCGAGCGCTTCAGAGCCCTGTCCTACGCAGACACCGCTCTGGTGTTCGGTAACCTCTAGTGATACCAGTGATAGTGATTGCACTAATGTGGCAATTTACTCATCAGTCATCTCTGATAGCATCCAGATAGTATGGGTGATACTTGAGTGCATGATATTTTGCGTTCGCTACTAGTTTGTGGAAACCAGTCTTAGCCGGCCGGGGCTGTGAACTCTCTGTGACTGTGTGTTATGTCGCGAGGTTGGGCGCCAGGGACAGGTAGGTATGTGTCGGCGGTCGCCCTCCGGAGGGTTCGATGGATCCCTGCCGACCGGCCGGTGTGCAGCCCAGCCGTTTATATGGGTCCGGGGAGCCCGGTCCCGGCGGCTCAGCGGCCGCCAGGTGCCCGCGGCCGACAGGCGTGCCCGGGGAGCGGCCGGGGGTGTGGTCCGCCTCACGCACACGGAGGGACGCCCCGGTATCAGCCCAGATCCCACCCGACCTGGTTACCCGAGTAAGGCGTTACGTAAGAATGCGCCGAGTGGTAGCGCGGATTTGAACCGAATTCCGAGCTGGAATGCCAGCTTTGCGTGCTTATCTCTGGCAGCGATCATCCATAGCGTGCTTCGCGTAATAGGCGTCAGTTTGAGCGATCGAAGACCATCCGTTTTCATATGCTCCAGTGTACAGTTAATTTGACGGCGTATGCCGCGAATTTTTCATGCATTCTAATTACCCTCTCGTCAAAGCTGACTTCCCCGTGTTCCTTTTTCAATTACATCGACGTTTGGTGATGTTTGTTGCACCTTTACGGAACTGCACCTAAAAACAAACCGTGACGTGATCTAAGCTGGCTAGGGAAGCTGATTACGCCACTGTGGGCGAGGCGAAATAGCTCGGGGTTTAGCCGCCAGTTTCTTTCAACACGCCTTACTACTGTTTCCATGAAACGGCTTTGGCTCGAGAGTCGGGGCACGGATGTGCTTCCTTCGAACGAGTTTATTTTATATATCCTCCTGGGGCATTAGGCGGCGTGTGTATTTGGTAACAGAGAGTGCCGGGTATTTATTTGGCGTCTGGCGGCGCGCTGAGCCAATGAGGCGGCTTTTCTCGCTCCTTATCCGGCTGAGTGGACGGCCGGCGCGGCCGCTCAGCGCTCAGTATTTGGCGCGGATTCTCCGTCTGGCGCCGTTTCAGCCGAGGGCCGGAGCTGGGCGCGGTGTACGGCGGCGCGCCCCCGCCGTGCCAGGGGGCGACACGCGCCCGATCGGACCGCCCGTCTCTGCATGTTCGGGGGGGGGGGGGAGTTTCGGAGGAACTCGGATTCTACAGTACAAAGTACCGATCGTCGCTATGTAGCTGCCGGCTGGTATCGGGGAAGATATGTTCCGACTGGAATGTTATCGACTGTGATAAAAAGGCGGTGCGATTTAACGCCATTATACCCGAGAATTCGAGACAGTTCGAGACAGTTCGAGACGATTTGTTGTAACGCGTTTCAAATGTGTGTTTTTTTATACGATTTACTGGATCTGACCGCGGAGGCTGTGGTTTTGTCTCCACAGAACATGTAATTAAAGCCTTTGCATTTTCATTATATCGCTATTACTTCTGATCCCGCCTGTATTTTTCGCGAAGTGTGCCGTGTATATTACCTGCTATTTCACAGCCTACTTTGCTCAATCAGTAATCACGTGCCCTTTGTTATCCCCTTTTCGAACAGTAACCCTCCTTGTGTGTGAGTCGGAGGGAGCAGGCCCCTGTACGCCAGTGTCGGAGTAGGACCCTGGACGCCAGTTCTGAATTCTGATGGCCGCAGCGGGACCCTGTACGTCAGTTCTAATCGCCGTCCGCGTCGTTCGCAGGACGTGGACGTGGCCAAGGAGCTGGTGAAGCGCGGCCACGCCGTCTGGGCAAAGAGCGGCGCGACGGGCAGCCGCGAGGCCAGTCCGGCCTGCTGCAGCTGAGCACGCGCTCCGCCCGGGAGACGGCGGCTAGTACCTGATAGTAGCGGCGACCGACCAGCGGCGGCCCCGGCGGCGGCGCGGTGCGGTCAGTGCGAGCGTCGGGTGTGGGGGGACTCCCGCGACGGCCCGTGTCGCTCGTGTGCAGGGTAGAGTGGGCCCGGGTGATGCGCCAGGCGGTGTCGGCGATGGGAACGCCCCGGTGCGGCGCCGTCCGGTCAGCAGGCTGTGTGATGAGGGTCGGTGTGTCCCGTCTGAGATTGGTAGCAGCTAGCGACGGGTGAACTGCTGCGGCCCGGCCCGGCTCGGGTGCCGGCAGTCGGCGTTGGGTGGGAGATGACGCCCGTCAGTCGTTAGTTGGTGTCCGTTGATGGATGGCCGGTGATCGGCCGTCAGACGGCGCCTGGCCCGGATGGATGACTGCTGCAGCAGAAGAGGGTACAGGGGCGGATAGGAGACCGAATCAGCTGCCCAGATTCAGAGCTGTTTGACGTTCGGAGCTGTCCTATGCGGCCAGTCAGACGGTACGGGCTGGCTGGTCCCGGCCAATGAAGAGTTCGGGAGACACTGTATGTATTCGCCGCCGACCTCTGGGAATGGAAGGTCTTCCGTGAGTGACGTGGGGACGGGGAGCGGACAGCTGCCGATGGCGCCTGGGACGACTTCCACTGGTGCCTGGGGACAGCCCCGGTGAGGTCAGGGCTGGTCTGACCGCTGACAGCAGCGCCCTCCGTAATGGACGCAGCAGGTGCCTGCGCCACAGGCCAGTGATGCGATGGGAAATCGCAGTCGGTGTGTGGTTTTCTCCCGTGGTAGGAAATGCAGCGATTTTCACTCCGGGTCGGATCATCATTGGAAGTCCCATGGGCAAACCGAGCGCTAAAAATAGCGTTCTTCCCGAGTACTGTTGTCATAATATTGCTGATAACCGATGCTAGTTGTTGCTCGTGATATTTTTGTTACCCAGCCTTCAACAAAAGTGTGCGCGTGATCGGAATGTTGTTTCACAGTGCTAAGTCTCGTTCAGGTAGTGTTTTCAGATGATGCTTTCTGAGGTAGTTGTCAGTGCGGTGCTGACAGGGTGTTCGTGCAGCTCGTTGTAGCGCTGTTTTATGAGAGGGAGAGGAGGGATCCGGGAGGGGTGTCCGTTTTCCGGCGAACTGCGGACACTGTTAGCTCGGTCTCGGCCTCTGCCGGCCGGTGGCGAGTCGCGGCCCCGGCGAGCTTTAGGGATGACGCGATGTGCGCTGACGTGATGACGCCGGAACTGGAGGAAGACGGACTGGCGGCGGAGCCCGCGCCGGGCGGACGGCGAGTGACCGCCTGACGGCCTTCCCGTCTGCGTGCTGCGGCCGACCGGCGGCGGCCGGCGGCGACCGCCGTGCCGGGAACTGACCACTCGAGACGAACGGCACGGCACGGCACGGCCGCCGGCGTCGGTTATAGCGAAACGGTGCCAACAGAGCGTAATGACTCGGTCCGAGGAGTCGACCGCGCCGCGCCCGGCCCGAATGTCATTCGTGCAATGCTGCAGTGAGCCTGCCCGGTGCGTATGCGGTCTTGGTCGTGGCGTGTTAATTGTGTGAATGGAGCTGTGAGAGGCTGATATTTTTTAAATCGTGATTCTGTGTGTATGCTGCTCAGCCGGAACTTCTGGTCCTTTTGAATATGATGTTCAATGATGAAAGTGGCTCGCTGTTTTCTGGAGTTGCTGGTGGTGGAGGGTTATTGTAGACAGAGCGAACTAGGTTTCCTCGTTGCACCACATCCCTGCCTTTCAGCAGCCCCCTCTGACGGCCGAAGCCCCACCAAGTACCGGCCCAGTGGAGCCTGCGCGGCCGCTCCGGGAACTGGAAGGAAAGCCGTCATTCACTTGACATGAAAATTCCGCACGGTCACTGCGGCCGCCGTTTGCCGGAACCGGCGGCGTGGCTTCACACAGCAATTCATCATCGTCAAATTGAACAAGTGGCCGTGCGCCCGGGTGGCCATTAGTTCTGGTTAGGCTCGGCGCGCGGTGCCGGCCTCGGCCGCCCTGGCCCCGCCTGCACCCTTTCGTCGAGCAAAATACTCGCACGGCAAGAGGCTGCCCGCCGCGTACACACAGTAACGAGAGAGCCACGGAATATCGCGCACACACTTCCGCTGACCTGACCGCGCCCCGTTCCTCGTTGGTGGTATTTTTATGTCACGATAAGCTAAAAGCACCGTGAATTGATGACATGATGCGTCGCCCCATCGACCACGGACGAGTACCTAATCGGACGGTTTTTCCACGGCGAGGCTGTTGCCGACCCCGTCCCACGCCCGTGCCAGTTGACTGGGTTCACGGACGGGTATTTCCTTCGATGTGGAGAATTGCGGTTCCTGTTACGACACAATATGTCCATGATTTTGATGCATGCTTCCTTTGGTTTCGTGCCCATGTGACGGGTGCAGTTGTGGCCCGTCGGTAAACGTTCTTGGGACAGGTCTGTGGGGCAAAGGTGCTGTGCGCGAGATATGCTCGCACGTCTAAGTTTTTAACGTCTCTTCTCGCTGACCGTAAGATCGCATCTGACCCGACCCGCGCCGTCATGAGTACGTCAGTGAAACGATATAATTTCGCCACTAACCTGTGGGTAATTCAGCTACCGTCAAGTTACCGCATCGTGACTTTCGTTGTGTGCATCTGTCTAACTCGCTTCAGTCACACCTTTGTCAGAGACTCTTTCATTTGACATGTCTGGGCGTCTGCAGCGCGCCGAACCATCCCACCGTCTCCAGAGGGCTCGCTCCGCGGCCTGGGCAAGCGCTCCCAGGCGTGGCGACCCCACTTTTTGGAAGGGACGGACATCAAACCTACGACCGTAGGGAAGCGGCCGAGCGGAGCGCGACTGGACACGGTCGCGTTTTGACGGCTTCACACGACCTTGTGGCGGCCATCGGGGGCGAAAAACCACCGATCTGCCATGACTGGCAGAACGGCGGCCACTTTTTCTGTGTTCGGGAGGTGTGGAACGAGGAAATCTGTGTTTGTGTGACAGCCGTGCGGCCGCGTCTCTGGTCGCCCGACATGAAGGTGTGAGTAATCTGTGTGTCCGTGTTGCGGTTCGCTCCACTGTGTTTGTGTTTGTGACCGCCTTGCTCTGCTGACACGTCTGGTCAGGGATGTTTGTCGGGGCTGGCCTGGAACTTTATTTTGGACTTGCCGCACCTCGTTAGCAGTTCCTGAAGACAGCCGGTTGCTTGTTGCCACGGACTTTGCTGTGATTAGATTGTGGATATGAGGCAGATAGCACCGGCCGGCTGGCTGGCTCCGTACGACCTCCAGATGATGAGATGGCCATCACCCCTTGATCACGACTTTTAGCGGTGCAGACAGACAGAACGTCTCGTCTGGCTTACGTCATGCTCGGCCGCTAGCCGTGATTCCCGGCTCACGGCGGCCTTCGACCGGCGTTTTTCCGCCGAGTCGCGCGGCCCTGTGCTGTTGTCAAGCCGGTTTGTTGGTGCACACGGAGTTGCTGTTAATTTTCTGCTGAATTGTCAATTGCACTGACTACGTGTAATCGGCCCCAGGAGTGATACCTTTTGTTATAACTTCACAATCATATTCCGTGGAATCCGGAACACGTTATCTTGTGTTCCGTAAATTTAAGCACGCTTCGCGAAAAGTGATGAACCATTTTGACAGTGATGTCAGGTTTTGCTCATAAGATATGCCTGTTGAACCCGGAAAGTGACCGACTTCCATGTTTGCTAACCAGCCTTGGAAAGCATGGTCCTTATCACTTGCATGCATTCCCCACTTTCAAATTAGGCTATTCATACTATCGTTGGCCGTCCACGGAAGAGTGAATGTTTTGCATGTTCTCGTATGCTGGTAGATTCATAGCTAAACGTATTTTCGCTGTTAATGTAATTCAGACAATTACTTCGAATTTCGAGCCTTTTACTTTCGAGTGTCTGTGGCGACGATTACGTATATACGATGCTGCCGAAAGGCACACTCGCACGTCCCGCCCCGCCCATTACGCCGGCACTGATTGCACGTGGCGGCCCCTGAGGCCCACGGGGCTCCGCCGGCCGAGCCGCGAGGCCGCCAGGTTTTTGTGGCGGTGACACACCCTGCACCAATATCAGACGTTGATCGGGGCCCGATCCGACGGCGGCATTACCTAACGTATACGAGCCGGCCTAACTAGCGCGAGTGTCAACCGTACCTGTCGATCAGACCTTACTTTGCGCGCAGTCCGTCAATGTCGGCTCGGTAGCAGCGTAAATATGCACAGTCCGAACAGCTGAGAGCTGACGTGGCGTCTACTGAAAGCCGATGTGTTTCTAATTGAACTGCGAGTCTCTACGTCCAGGCTGCTCACCAGAGTGAAAGTTAACACTTGCAAGTTGAAATGAACACACACTATCCTGGTATTGAATCTCTTTTCCATTTGTACCTGTTTTGCTAGCAGACACAAGATAATATGTTTTTGTACGCGCACTCGATTGCTAAAAAAGCCTTTCTAGCTACCATTTCTTCCCATCAAAACGGCAGGCAAGTCTTCGCCCTCCACCGTTCCGGAGCGTTTCACGATAACCGACTGTCGTCCCTTCCCTCGGCCGTTTCTCGGAGGGCGATCACACCAGTCACGCTCGAAGTGAGGTTTGTCACGCCCCGCGAGCCTTCCCAGAGTCGGCCCGGCATGTCGAACGCACCTCTGGCGGTACCGTCCGCTGCCAGTGGACTGACCTCCCCGACATACTCCGGTCGCGTGTCGCCGACCACGCTCTCCATGACCGGGCGGCGCACCTCACACGGAGTGGCCGCCCCCTCCGCCGCCCCGGACCGGCTCTCAGCCGAGAAGTTCGAACTGTGCCGCTCTTTGTTGCAGTCGCCGGCTCGGAGCGGCCGGGCGCTGCTCGCATGGCCTGCTTGCATGTGGCGGCGGCCGTCGGCAGGCTGCGCTACGACTACTTCTCTGGAAGGATATTTGTCCTTTCGGCGAAGTGGCGCTCGTTAGGCGGCTCTGGCCGGCGCGCCCGGCCGGACTTTACTCCCGTGTTGTGCCATCGATCACGGCCGCTATTTGGCGTCCCTGTAATCTCGTGGCGCGTCGGCGGCCGACGGGCCGGTCTACCGAGAAGCGACCGCGGCCGCCGCCGTTACGGCACCGGAGCGCTGAGAACGTCTGCTTCCAGCTACTGGCCGGGGAGCGGCGGCCGGCCGTCCAGCCGCGCAGACAGCCTTCCAGCGAGCCGTCCGTTGCCAGGTGGGAGTCGGCCGCCCAGCCGCCACCCAGCCGGCGCCGTACCGCGCCGTGTTATGGGCTAATTGTAGGCCTCCTCCCGGCGCCCGGCGCCGACCTCCGCCGCGCAGGAGGCGGCCTTCGCGGCCCTCAGCCAAACCCGTCTGCAACACTGCATGCGTCTCTGTATTTTCGGTGCTGCAGCATCACGCAGCCCCGCCCCGTGGTATTACAAGTGACGGCTCGGGGCGGCCATTCAGTTATCGAGCTCTGTGCGCTCAGCAGCCGCAACCAGCAACCATCGCACGCAAACAGGTAAAACACAACCAGAAATCGGCGCAGCGACAACCGACCAGCGGGGGAGCGCGCCCCGCCGAGCGGGGTGGAATGGCGCACCGTGCCGGCCGGCGCCGTCTCCCAGCCAGCACTCAGCTGCACCACACACAACACGGGCGGCCCGGGGAGCCCGGCCCGGCGACCTCCCTAACAAACACGGCCGCCGCCGTCCCAGGCATTCATTGAGGCGTTTGTGGGTCAGTGTGGATCGCGCGTTGGCCACAAAATTCGGCGGCTCTGGCGTCGGCTCCAGAGAGCCGCATCGGAGAGTTGGCGAGCACGGGGCTCTCAGGAACACGAGCACAACAGGGTGCGGCGCGCGCGCCGGGCGCGCGGCGGAACGAACTAATACTGCAAACTCTACACACTGTCTGGGGCGCGCCGCAGTCGCCCGGTGAGGTATTCAGACCTGGTTAGAGTCCAGCGGCGGCGGGCGCCGGTCGGCCGGCCGCCTATACCGACAGGCCCTTGCTCCTGAGGAACGCCTCCCGGCTCGGCTCGCGGCCCAGGAAGTTGCGCAGCATGTCGGCCGCGTCGATGGTGGAGCCCGGCTCGAGGATGCAGCGCCGGTAGTCGCGGCCCACCTCCGGCGACAGGATGCCCTCCTTCTTGAAGCGCGCCTCGAACATGTCGACGCTGTAGACCTCGCTCCAGAGGTAGCCGTAGTAATTAGCGTCGTAGCCGCCGGCCATGTGGCCGAACGAGGCGGCGAAGTTGGTGTCGGGCATGGTGTCGATGCCGGTCACGTCTTTGTACACCTGGCGGAAGATCTCGGCCGTGTCCGACTGCGGCTGAGAGAAGATGATCTGGTCGAACATGGAGAGCGCCACCTGGCGCAGGTTGAAGATGCCGCTGTTGGCCTGCCGGGAGCGCACCAGCGTCTCGAGCAGGTCGGCCGGCAGTGGCGAGCCGTCCTTGTAGTGGCCCGACATGAGTGCCAGCGGCTCGGGCTCCCACACCCAGTTCTCCAGCATCTGACTGGGCGCCTCCACAAAGTCGCCCTCCACACTGGTGCCGGCGAACCTGGCGGCACGACGGGGAGAGAGCGGTTAGCGCAGGTCAGGTCACCCGGCAGGCGACACCGGTCATGGCAGGTCACATGGCAGGACAGCGCCGTCAGGTCAGGCGA